CGGCTGCTCAGCTCTGGCTGGACTCGAACCACTGTTGCTCAGAGCTCAAACTCTTGAGCGAGCTCTTAACCAACTGAGCCACTCAGCCGGCCCTTGACTAGTACTTTTAAGTTGAGAGACTTTTATTGTGGTGATGATGGCAGCAAGAATAATGGAAACCTCTTGACCTTATTGAGAGAATTACTAAATTCAGGTTGTGCTTTTCTTCATGTTCAGTGGAAAGGGCCACTAGACTTAAAATAGGCTGAAAATGTTTGTGCTCTATTGAAAAGTAATAACAAAGGTATAGCAAAACTTTCCCCACCCTCTTCAAGTTTCTCTGTTTTGAATGACGTTCAAAATTATTTCTTGTGAATTTTTCTTAAGCTTTTTGCAGAGTATGAACGGCAGAACCTTGCAGATTGACATGTTTACTTTTTTTTTTTAATTTCCAAGGATTTTTTCTTTTTCTTTTTTTTGTTAAGATTTTTTTGTTGTTGGGGAAGGGGAACAGCCAAGTTATTGTCCTTCAGTCTTAGCTGTGGAGGGCACAGCAAGCTGAGCTCCAAGTCCAGTCGCCATCCGCTGCCTGTCGGCAGCTCAGGGCAGCTCAGCTCAAGGTGCTGTGTTCAGTCTTAGTTGCGGGCGGGCATAGCCCACCATCCCATGCGGGAGTTGAACCGGCAACCTTGTTGTTAGGAGCACATGCTCTCACCAGCTGAGCCATCCTGCCACCTGTTGACAGCTCAGCGGCAGCTCAGCTCAAATGCAGCTCTGTCTCCCATGTGGGAATCAAACCGGTGACCCTGTTGCTCAGAGCTCACGCTCTTAACCAACTGAGCCATTCGGCCAGCCCAGACATGTTTACTTTTATTTGCAGATGTTAAGTCCTCTTTGCCCTAGAGCAGGGTCAGCAAACTCTCTCTAAGGCACCAGATAGTCAATATTTTAGGCCCTGAGGGGCTGTACAGTCTCCATTGCAACTACTCAGCTCTGTGTTGTGGTACGAAAGCTGCCATGAACAATATGTAAATAAAGGAGCGTGGATATGTTTCATAAAACTTTATGGACACTGAAATTTGAATTTCACGTAATTTTCACATGTTGAAGTAATTTTTTTCCAACCATTTAAAATTGTAAAAGCCATTCTGAGCTCACAGACTATCTACAGAAACAGGTGGTGTGTGCCAGAGCTTGCCATTCCCTACCCTAGAGGGAATATCCTAGACATTTTAGAGGAGAAAGAAAAATACTGTCTGAGCTATGGAATTGATTTTCTTGAAAGTTTTTCAGATAATTAGGCTGAGACAAGTTGTTTCATTCATATGTTCCTCTGCTTTGCCTCATTGGAACCCTGTGGCATGCCTGACTGTTGCTAACATTTATGATGATTAATTTCAAATGCAAGGAGAGCTCTTGGCTTATATGCCCTGGCTGTTGGAGAGTGATTTGGGAGTGTCGTTTGGAGCCAGTTGGATTTGGTCATGCTTCATCATGCCTGTAGTTAAAAAAAACTTTCCATTTCAGTCATGGCTGCGGTCCTGCCCACACCCTGCTCCGGGCAGATTGCGTGCTCTGTGGCCTGGATGGTCCTGTTTCTCCATGGCAGTAATCATTGCAGAATTTTAACCTTTCCCTCTTTTCAGTCTTTCCTTTTCTGGACATCTGGTAATAATATGCATTTGCATATTTTCTGAGTCAGATTGCTACAGCCTAATATTGATAGACAATATTCAGAACTTGATAGACAATTTCCTTAAAATGCCTTGACACACTTAGGAAGGCGGGGCTCACTTCTACCACATACCTTACAATCTCTCATTTTTGCTTTTTTTTCAGTCAAGTATCTATTTATGAGGTGGACAAGCAAGATTGTCGCAAATTTTGCACTACTGGCATCGATGGAGCCATGACAATTTGGGATTTCAAGGTATTGTCTACCTTTCAGAACAAATCTTGTTTATGTTAAAACATTTTCTGTGAGAAAAATGTTTCCCATTTCTTGGAACAAAATATTGAAGCCAATGCAAATCAGAAATGTAAGACATTAGACTGTAGTTGTCTTTAAAACCTAAAAGTCATTAGCAGGAGGAAGCCACACTTTCCCAATGGGAATGCGTACTTCTTTCTAGATGTCCATCTGTTCACTGAGGAAAAGTTGAGTGCTGTTTTTGTAGCAGACCCTGTGGGGGGCACCAATCTAAGTTTATATAGATATATTTTTATGGTTTATGCTAATTAATCTAATAAACGTTCACTAAGTGCCTCCTGGGTGCCAGGTATGGTGATAGGCACTGAGGATATTGAGGTGAAGAAGCCTTTTAGGGGCTTGTCTGGTGGAAAAGAGGAGAGAGAGGGGATTAGGTGGAGTTCCAGAAGAGAGGCCAGTGCCTCTGTACATTGAGGAATTGACGCGGGGGTGGGGAGGAGGGGGGTATAAACTGCCAGCACTGCAGGGAATAGATTAGACCTGAGCTCTCTCTAGATGCAGGGGGATTTCGGATCACATGGTTGGGGGGGCGGGGGGGCAGTGCAAGCATTCTGAGCAGGAGCAGCACAGAGCTCAGAGAGCACACATTGCAATCGAGGTACTGCCAGTGACTGGGGCTGTGGTGTGGGTCCTATAGAAACACAAGATGGAACTAGAGAAAAGCTGTGGCGTGGTCAGGGAGCAGATGCTGGGCTTTGTCTGCAGACCACTAGGAGCCGTTCCAGAACCAAAGTAGGAAAGCACCCGCTGTAAGGCGTGGTGGCCTGGGCACCCGAGGGCTCTGGACAGAGGCTTTTGAGTCCAGTGAACAAGTGAGGAGGATGTGAACCCCAGCTGTGGCGGGGGCTGTGGCTAGGAGATTCAGGAGTGCAGAGAGAGTTAGGAGGCCTAGTGGGAAGGTGGAGAGACAGGGAGGGATAAATCCAGGGGAACTCCAGCTTGAGGACTGGGCGGGTGGTAGGTGAGATAGGGAACCAGGGAGGAGGTGCAGGACGAATAGCTCCTGTGTGTAGCTCTGAATATACTTGTGGTTGTTAACCTATAAAACAAGTAGTAAACATTTACAGAATTTGCCTCTGTGCATTTCCATGACGTTTCATTTTTTTTGTTGTTTTTTTCCTCTCCTTGGGTCAAATATATAGAAGCCTCCAGAATATCCTGGAGAGACAAACTGTCTTCCTCTAAAAGTCTCGCCCGCTTTTTCCGTTGGCGTGCTGTAAGTCCTGAGCATCGGGCTCCTGTGTAAGCAGTTACAGCTCCGCCCTTCTGGCTTTGATCCCTCAGGCCATGTCCTTTTCTGTCTTTCTGTACCTGTGTAAACTAAGAAGCCCCAGTGCCACTTTCTCTTCAGTCCATCCACCTTTGAGCACCTGCTTTGTGTTGTGCAGCAGGCTGGCTGCTTCGTGGCCTACAGAAACATAGGAGTGCCTGCCATTAGGGCATCTGAGTGTGGTGACGAGGCAAGGGACATGTGCACATATGGCCCTCACTAAGGGCCACTGGCACAGACAGAAACCATGCCTCAGGAACACAGGGGTGGGCCCAGAGCCCGTGGGCAGGGTGGTGGGGACGGGAGCACAACCTGGAAGGGCCTGCAGTCCCAGAGAGTCTGCTGGGCCCGGTCCTGGGAGAGCTTGACTCAGAGATGGCGTAGGGTCAGATTTGTCAGTGCAGGGGCCTGTATTTCGGTCAGGGAAAGGGGGAGTAGTGTAGCACTGTAGAGAAAACAGCAGGATGGACAGTCCTCAGTAACCATCATTGTTCTTCCTGCCATTTTCAAGACCCTAGAGTCTTCCATCCAGGGCCTTCGGATAATGTGAAGCTAAGTGAGCCTCCCAGATCCAGCATGACTGACTGACAAACCCCATCGGCAGCTCCGCCATTTGCATGATGGTGCGGAAAGCCAGCTGCAAGGAAACACTGAAGACACATATCTCGCAAATGTTGTTTGTGTGTTTTTGTTTTAATATAATTGGTGAAAGTGTTGGTTTTTAAAAGCAGCAGTGATTGGATTGTTTGGTTTTTTGTTTTTTGGTTTTTTGGTTTTGGTTTTTGCTATTTCGTTCCGTTCTTGACCAAAGCTTCTCTTTTAGTAGTTTATTATGGAAAATTGTCACACTAACTTAAAAGAAAGGGTGGGGAGATACATAAATTGCTAAAAACAATTAAATAAAAATACTGAAATGTGTTTTTGGTTTTGTTTCCTTATTTTTAATTTCCACTTTTAGTAGAAAAACTGGGTCAGTTCTTTAGTTTTTAGGGTAAAATCTTAGATTCTTAATTTCTTAAATTGACTATAAATGGTCATTCTTCAAACAAAAGAGCCATTTATTGAATGCTACCTTTTAGCATTGCTGTCCTTCTGCAAAGTAGGTGTACGGTTTCCATACTGCGCACAAGGCAACATCACTAAGCAGCCAAGCCCGAATGGGAGCTGCTCTGAGACCCCAAGGTCTGGGCCCTGTGCCCACAGCAGGGGCAGCTGCCGCAACAGTGCACTCTCAAAGGAGTACTGCAAGGGAATGTGCGGTGGGACGAGGAAAGGGGCGTGTTAACATTTTGGTTTAGAGATTATTGTCCCCAAACTATGTTATTTTCATCATAATTAAACATGAAGTTTGACATTCCAAGGCTGAGAATCTTGAGAGGTGCAAATATAAATGAATAGCAAAGTAAATAAATACAGAGGAGCCTCAAGCATGGTGTATTGTTGATCTCACTGGCCCATGAGAAGTAGAGCAGTTATTGCAACACACCTCCAGTGTTAGGACACTGGTAACAGTGCTTCTCGGAGGACATCATGATACTCCAGAAGAGTCATTTTGCCCTTTGGCCAAGCATGGAAGCGTTACTTCCCTCCAGGCAAGAATCCAGCGCCTGCGGTGCCAGCTCGGTGGACCTGCCTCTTCCTTGTTTGCTGCAGTGTCCTCTCTGGACCTGACGGCAGGAGTTCCTTTGCATGTACGTGTTTGCACCAGTGCATCAGCAAGGCTGTCGTCAGGGAGAGAAAAGACAAAAGCTGGCCAAAAAATAGGAATTAGCTAAAAATTTCTTCTCGTTTCATTAAATCACATAGCTTGGCCAGCAAGCCCAGAGATTTTTAGAGAAACTGTATTCCATGAAAGAAACAACAGCAACAAAGAACAAAATGTACCAACTTTGCCTCCAGAAACTTAATAGCCACAGAGTTAATCTTTCTTTTTTAAACTTGGGCCATTTCTCACCCATGGAAGAATGCCCCTCCCAGTCCTGGCAGTGCTGTACTACATTGCTGGGGTCTGTGAGATTGTGAAGCCCCCTCTTCCTCTGGCCCTGCCTTCGAGACTCGGGCCAGGCTTGGGTCCACAATGACTAGCCATCTGGAGGGGTGACCACTGAAGCCCTTTGATTCGAAGCTTTGGGCGTTGTTTGGTGTCAGGTTATGTTCTGCCAAGTTGTGTGACCTTGAGCAATATAGTGAACATCTCAGCCTCAGTGTCCTCACCTGTAAAATGGGAGTAATACAGGATTAGTAATTCCTGTTAGATATTTTGTAAAATCAAGATTTGCTGGGCCAGCCGGGTGGCATGTTGGTTAAGAACTGGCTTGGGATGCCAGAGGGCCCCGGTTCGGATCCCACATATGAGGGCCAGTGACACTGCCCTCCACAGCTAAGATGCTGAACA